TTTGTTTTTTTTTTTTTTTTTTTTTTTTTTAAATTTCGGGTTTTTTTTTTTTTTTTTTTGAACTAGGACAGTAGTTTGACATGAACTGTGTTAGACTAGTTTTAGTTATACATTGTTAATTTTTTGAAAGATTGTGTTGTTATTTTTTTGTAGTGTGATATTGGCTGTGCTTTTGTTTGGCGAATCTGCAATTTCAGTATATAGGTTGTTTGTCAGTTGACTGTGCTTTTTTTTTTTTAGCTGGGTTTTTTTTTGTTGGGTTTAGTAATGTAGTGTGTGCAATCATACTAATAGTCTAAAATTCAGTGGCTTAGATTAGGGATGTGTTGAAGTGTGCCAGTTTTAAGAATTGTATGTGACCGTGGTTTTTTTTTTTTTTTTTTTCCTTTGCTATCCATTGCATTTTTACTAGACTAATGTATTATTTACTCTAGCTAATTGTGTTTTTTTTTTTGGTTTGTTGTGATTCGTTTCAACATATGCATTCTTTGTTAATTTTGAGTTTTTTTTTTTTTTTTAACTTTTCTTTTTTCCAGTTTTTTTTTTTTCTTTTTTTGCTTTAAGTATTAACCTCTTAGTGATACTATTTAATCTTACCATCATAGCTGTGCAATTTAATTATGTTCAGTATATGCATACTACATTTACGGTGTGTGCAATCTTTTTAACATGTCTCTATGTCTGTGCGTGTAGGTTCCAAATGAAGGAATGCTGTCCGTATCGAAACCCAAGGAATTCACTCTTCGAATGATAATGACTTTGTTTCTGCACCTCCGGCGGGACGTGTGCATTCTGCTACACCGTTGCAAGGCCGGAGGCAAGACGATGCTGGTAACGAAGTTCGCATCTTTCCTCATATTAGCACCCGTGCATCAGCGTTTAAGTTAGTGGCTCCGATGAAGAAGTTTAATGTCCGTCAAAGAAGGGCCGTGGGGGAGTTGGGCTTACACGAACTCTTTCATTTGAAGATTCATGATATTCCTAAGCCGTCATCAAGTGAAAGTCTATGCCATCATCAAGACTCTTAAACTGTTGCCCAACAGTTGGTTTCATTTTCGGATCACATTTTGTTATCCAATAACTTGTGTTTCCCGGGGAGATTTCCATGTCACATGTTTCGGTGCCATTATTAGATTCGATGTCACCTGCTATATATCGCAACCAATTCTTTTCGTTACTTTACACTTCAAATAAAATCCAAACACAAATAAAAACCAATACTTATTAAATAAAAACCAATCACAAATCATCATATTACGAATATATTGTTTATACCATAACCGTAGTTATTTTTTTTCCAACTTCTATACCATTACACATTACTAAGTAGGTGCACGGTACAAATGACCTCGTACCATCGACTAACTGATTGCACACACCGTAAGCTCACGTTGCACACGCCATACCCACTAATAATACGACAACACTGCTCGTTCCCTCTTCTGCTTTTTAACTCCTCTGTCACGTAGCACACACCAATAACACTACTTAACCCATGACACTTCTCATTCGTTTTTTTATGTTTATACCGTGTACCGTAAACCCAACGATTGCACACGCAATATCCTAATCTTGCATACACCATTCGACATTAATACTACATGAAGACTGCTCGGTCCATCTGTTTTTTTTTTTTTTTAATACCATTCACTCATTACTAACAGGTTGCACACGCCCCTCATTAGGTAGCACACACCAATATTACTGTTTAAACTCGACCACTCATCATTTGTTTTTTTGGGTTATACCGTGTACCATCAACCCCTAGTTGCACCCACCATTACGTCTCGTTTCACACACCAGCCCCATTACTACCACGTCTATAATCCTCGTTCCCTCTTCTCTTCTTTTTTTTTTTTTTTCATCTTCTACCCCAACTCATTACGAACTGCTTGCACACGTCCGACTGTCACATAGTACACACTATAATCAATGAACTATAATTCCATAATCTATGAACTAAAATTCCAGAATGAATGAACAATATAATGTTGTTGCTGGGAATCGAATCTGAATTTTTTTTAAAGGGGAGACGCGCGTTTTTTAATAAAACGACGTCGTTTTGGCATCCGTATGCACCATGCATGGTGCATACGGATGCACAACATAACTATCCCTTGAACTGGCCCTCTATAAGCCAGTTTAAGTTTGGGCTATGCCCAGCCCAAGCCCACTTTTTTCCGGGCTAATTCATGGCTGGTTCGACATTGAAACCGGCCCACCTCTATGTCAATCATTATTGTGTGGACCATGGTCCACACAAGTTGTGTGAACCATATTTTGTATATTATAAAATAATGTACATTCAATACAAAAATAATGTACAATGTATTCAGAGAATGTACATTTTTTGTGTACTGAGTGTACATTATATTATATAATGTACATTTAGTATAAAAATAATATACATTTAATATATTAAAAATGTACATTTTGTTATGGTCAATACAACATTGTATGAACCATAGTCTACACAATAATTTGCCCCTCTATGGGATGTGCCTAAAATGTCAAATTTTTCTTTGAACCATCGTTCACAGTTTCACACAGTTGTGTGAACTATGAATACAAAATATATTTTTAGTATACTAAAAGTATATTAATTATGTACGTAGTGTACATTATTTAATAATATGTAAAATAGAATACTTTTAATTTTTAAATAATGTACTTTACATACATAAATAATATATTTTTAATATATAAAAATAAATTTTTATTTATGACCCGCACAACTACGTAACATGAAATAATGATTGGCCTAAAATTGATCAATTGAAAAAAATGAAAAATGGAGAATGCAATTTATATCATGCACCGGGGTGCGCATTGCATTGTGCGCCCTGGTGCAAAACGACGTCGTTTTGAAATTATTATTATTTTGAGAATTTTGCTTTCCTGTGTCGACGGTTAATTTTCTTTTTAAAAAATCTCATGTTTCAAAATTATACATAATTGTATACTAGAATGTACATAATTGTATAACAAAATACACATACTCTTTTTTGAAAAGATAATACACATAATCTAACATAATACATAATACATAATACACATAAACTTTTAACATAATACACATAGACTCTTAACATAATAAACGTAAATTCACTGTTTCGCATTTACATAATTGTATAAAAAATGTACATAATTGTATACCATAACGTACATAATCGCCTCAACTTCCTACACAACTTAACAAAACGACGTCATTTTGGGAGGCGCGGGGGCGCACAATGCTGTGTGCACCGTGGTGCAGGGTATAATGATTATATCGTGCACCAGGGCGCACAATGCATTGTGCACCCTGGTGCAAAACGACGTCGTTTTGCACTCTTTTTTTTTTTTTTTGAAAATTCCGCTTTTCCGTGTTTGTTGTTAACTTGTGAAAAGAAATAAATTTCATGTTTTGAAAATGTACATAATTGTATACTAAAATGTAAATAATTGTATATGATAATGTACATAATTGTATAACAGAATACACATAAACTTTGAACTGTTAAAAAAAATCGCGTGTTCGAATGTACATAATTGTATAAAAAAATATACATAATTGTATAAAATAATGTACACAATTGTATCCGAATGTACATAATTGTATAACATAATGTACATAATTATATAACATAATACACATACACTGTGTCGCGTCGACTCCCCACACAACTTAACAAAACAACATTGTTTTGGGAGGCACGGGGCGTGCTATGCCTATGTGGACATATGAGTAGGCTTGTTAACGAACCGAACATAAACGAACTGAGGTTGTTCGTGTTCGTTTGTTAAGGTTTTTGGAGTGTTCGTGTTTGTTAAGGTTTTTTAAAATTCCGTTCGTGTTCGTTTGTTGTGTTCATTAGTGTTTGTTAACGTTCGCGAACATGTTCGTTAACATTAACGAATACATTCACAAACATGTTTGTTAACAAGCACGTTCACGAACATGTTCATTAATAGGTGTGAACATGTTCAATAAACACATTCGTGAATGCTTAATAACTAAACATATAAACATGTTCATTAATGATCACAATTTGTTCGTGAACAAGAAATAATCTATGTTCACGAAAAATAACCAAACAAGTAACACAACTACAAAGAGAATACAAACAAATATTAAACGAACACAAACAAGCTTGTTCACGAACATTATTAAACGAACACTAAACGAGCTTGTTCGTGAACATTATTAAACGAATACAAACGAGCTTGTTCTCTATCGCTTAGCAAACGAGTTTACAACTGTTTAGACTCCATTCGTTTATTAATCGAGCTCTAAATTTTGTTTGTTAATATTCGTTTACCTTAATAAACAAACATAAACAAACGTTTACCAAACACAAATACGAGTAGTTTACCGAAAGCTCTATTCGCTAACACTCCTACATATGAGGGCATGCAGTGGCCCTACTGGATTTTTTATACTAATATTTCGAAATTTTCTTTACTAGTACTGTAAAATCTTCTTTAATATTTTATTATAAATTATAAATTTATAATAATTAATTAATGCTAAAACTAGTACTCCAAAAAAAAAAAAAAAAATTAATGCTAAAACTTGTTAACATAAAACTGTAATATTTATAATATATTTTGTTTTCCAATTTTTTTTACGGTGTTTATAATGAATTGTTTTAACTTTGTGTCTTCACCTCATTGAACTTTAACAATACGCTTATTTTACGGAATGAGTTTTGAGGGAATAAGAATGATATTCTATAAAAACTGAAATAGGTAAGGAGTTGAACATGAATTGTATTCTATTTTTTGGTTCACTGAAAGAATAGACTTTAGTAATGTTACTCCGGTGGTTGGTTTAGAAATCAAATATATGTTTAAAAGACATAAATACCCCTATACAATAATAATAATAATAATTTATTATTATTATTACATAAGATTTTTAAATAATATTATTTTATAGCAATTACAATATTTAATTAATTACAGTTTTAATATATAAATAAATAAATATTATATATATAAATGTTATAATGCAAAGAGGTATTTTTGGTATTATGGTACAAAAGATATTCGCAAATACTTGGGAATAGCTAATACCAGGGGGGTTCCCCAGGAATGGCTATTCCCCCTACAAAGGGAATAGCTCATTCCCGGGAATGCTATTCCCATGAATGAAAAGACAAACAAACAATGGAATATGTCTATTATATTTTAGGAAATATTATTATATTCTCGACCTATTCCATGAACCAAACACGCAGTTAGTCTTTAACCCTTGAGACAGAAACATCCGCAAATTAGCTTTCTTTTCGAATTCTGTTGCCACATTTTCCACTTCGTCTTACCCAGTGCCTTGAACTCCTGTGCCTACAACAATATCAACTTTGGTTCACAGAATGAATTTGGAAGGAAATTGAATGCTATTCCACAGAGAATGGAATATATAAGAAATAGAATATGAATTGTATTATATTGTTTAGTTCGTTGAAAGAATAGATTTTAGTAATTGTATTCCGGTGTTTGGTTAGTTAAAGGAATATGTTTTAAAGGCATAAATACCTCTATACATAATAATAATAATAATAATAATAATAATAATAATAATAATAATAATAATAATGATGATGATGATGATGATGATGATCGATATACTGAATGTTATATATATATATATATATATATATATATATATATATATATATATATATATATATATATATTTATTTATTTATTTATTTATTTATTTATTTATTAAATAATGTGTAAAGGGTATTTTTGGTATTTGTGATATAAAAATTATTTCTAAGAGCATGTGAATAGCTAATACTCATGTCCCAAGGAATGACTATATATTTTCCTTGCAAATGTAATAACTTATTTGTAGAAATGTTATTACTGTAACAAAATGATCAAATCAAACAATGAAATAGGCCTATGACAGGAGAAGTAAAATTAGAAGAGGCTTAAAACGATTTTATACGATTTTGTTTGCACAGAAACGGAAAACAAGAAAAAAAAAATACATGGTACGAAATGGGTCGAAAAAAATAAAAATATATAAAATATGATCTTATATTCATAAATAAATTTCTTTAAATATTTATATAAACATTATTTGTTGACTTTGAACTATTTAATAATTTTTTCCGTAAATTTGAAGGGAAAAAAACTCTTGGAATTTTCACACTGTGTATAACTTAGTGCATTCATAGACATGCATGTGATTAAGGTTGTTAACGAACTGAACATACATGAACAAATGAGGTTATTCGTGTTCATTTATTAAGATTGTTACGGTGTTCGTATTTGTTAGTTAATGTTTTTAAAAACCATGTTCGTGTTCTTTTGTTAAGTGTTCATTAGTGTTCGTTAACGTTTGCAAACACGTTCATAAATGTGTTCGTTAACCTTAACAAACACGTTCACGAACATGTTTATTAATGTTTGTGAACATGTTCATGAACATTTAATAACCAAACACAGGCTCATGTTTATGATCACACTTCATTCGTGAACAAGAAATTATCTATGTTCACAAACAATAACCAATTCAAACAAATAACACAACAACTATTACCAAACATGAACATAAGTAGTTTATCTAAAGTTTTGTTAGCTAATCCTTACCTCTAATCGAAGGTTCTCTGTTTTTTCCAACAAAATTTCGAGCTTCTCTCCACGGTCAAGAACCTAAAAAGACCAAATTAAACAACACAGATTTCTCAATATAATTCCTATAAATTTTCACTACACAAGCATTTTAACTTTTAAGAGGCATGCATGCACATAGACCAAGTTTACCTCAAGTACTTTTTCCTTTATCACCCCTTCGAGCTCTGAAACCTGAGCCGTCACCTTTGCAAGCATTGTGATATCTTCTGGATGATCCACACAATACTGCATTTGTTTCTTGAGCTTGGGCCTACTCAAAAATAAAAGGCAAAAACTGTGTAAAAATATCTTACGGATTCTTGTCATTGAGACGGGTCTAGATAACTAGGGGAACGCTATGATGTGGAATCGTGCCCACCTTGCAAGGTGGGTACGGTTCCATATCCATAATTTTTATACTGTAAATTTATACTGTAAATTTATAATTTCTGTATTGTAGATTCATAATTTTTATACTGTAGATTCATAAAATATATACTTTAGATTCATAATTTTTAAACCGTAGATTCCTATTTTAAATATAGTAGATTCATAATTTCTATACAATAGATTCATAATTTCTATACTATAGATTCATAATTTCTAAACTGTATAGTTATCAAATTATGAACATATAGTTCTGTGATTTGTATAAACAGAGTTCAACAATTGGGAATATGAACATATAGCTCTATAATTATTAACATATATTTATAAAATTATGAACATATAGCTCTATAATTATGAATCTACATTATAGAAATTATGAATCTACAATATAGAAATTATGGATATGAAACCGTGCCCACCTTGCAAGGTGGGCACGTTTCCATAGCATAATTTGCCAGAACTAGGTGTAAGTATTATAATTTCAGTTATAAGTATTACAATATTGATAATTAGTAACAATCAATTTTAGGACTAAATAGTATCACAATTTCACATATAAGTATTACAATATCTATCATGAGTAACGATTTATTTTTAATTCAAATTGATATTAAAATTTCTACAGTAAGCATTACAATTTATTTCATAAATAACATTTCATATATAAGTATTACAATATTTACATTAAAAACTACACTTTGTAAGTATCACAATTTTAATTATAAGTATTATAATATTTATCATCAATAACAATCGTTTTATCCTAAATAGTATCATAATTTCACATATAAATATTACAATATTTATTATAAGTAACAGACTAACAATTTATTTATTTAAAATTAGTATTAAACTTTCTATAATACATTACAATTTTCTATTATAAGTAACAAACAACTAAGATAGATTCTACATTTCTCACGAATCTTTCACACAAGTGTAACTCAGAATAAAAACACCCATGTAACAAAATAGATTTATGATATATGTCTAGTTTTTTTTTTTTGTATATTGTAAATTTATCTTTACTATAATACAAGTTTATTTTGATTTGTAATAGGATACTAAAAATCAATTTGTATTTGGGTCCATCTTATAATCCAATCTATATAGGGATGTTAACGAACCGAGCTTTCAGTAAATTACTCGTGTTTGTGTTCAGTAAGCGTTCGTTTATTAAGGTAAACGAACATTAACAAACAAAATTTAGAGCTCGATTTATAAATGAACAGAGTCTGAGCAGTTGTAAGTTCGTTTGCTAAGAGATCGTGAACAAGTTTGTTTGTGTTCACTTAATAATGTTCGCGAACAAGCTCGTTTAGTGTTCGTTTAATAATGTTCGTGGACAAGCTCGTTTGTGTTTGCTTAATATTTGTTTGTATTCTCTTTGTAGTTGTGTTACTTGTTTGGTTATTTTTCGTGAACATATATTATTTATTGTTCACGAACGAATTATGATCATGAACATGTTCATATGTTTGGTTATTAAGCACTCACGAACGTGAACGAACATGTTTAATTTGTTAATGTTAACGAACATGTTCGTGAACGTGTTCGTTAATGTTAACGAACAAGTTCGTGAACATGTTCGCGAACGTTAACAACCACTAACGAACGCTTAACAAACGAACACAAATATGATTTTTGAAAATCTTAACAAACGAACAAGAACAACGTTCGTTCGTTTATGTTCGATTCGTTAAAAGCTCTAACTATCTGTATAAGGTGGACCCTAAGGGGCATAATATAATATGCCGAAAAAAATATAATAATGTATTAATGTACGGATAAAGGAAGAATTAATTGGGTGCAGTGTTTAATTAGTGAGAGCCTAAAAGATCGAATTAATTTGGGATGTGTGAGTGTGATTAGTGTAGAAATAATTTTGAATGAGTAGGAGACTAGGAAATGTTATATTTGGTAGGTTTTTTTAAGTTATATATTAGCTCTTATTATTGTACTAGTTGTTTTATGCGCTTTGCGCGAATATAAGTATTTCAAAGTGATGGAGAAAATTGATCCAAGGTATGACCTAGGGTATGTGTTTATACGGATCAATAACCTCCCTAGAAAAATATATGAGTAACGTAAAGTAATGATTGCAGAGAATCAATAAATGAACACAGAAATTTATTGTGGAAACCAAAACGGTGAAAACCACGGGCCTTTTTGGGCTAAGCCAAGTCGAAATTCCTTTATTATATTCGAAGGTGTAGTACATGTACACAGGTAGGCCATGGCCATAGAACGAAAAGAGAGAGTAGAACGTGTAGAAGAGAGGTAGAAGAGGTTATTTAAGAGAGAGGTTCTTATTTGAGACTGACGTCCCCCTCCTCTCTCTTCCTGAGCCTTTATATAAAGTAACTTCTTGACAGTTATAACTTCCCGTAGTCTTTCATATTTGCTTGCCATGATGACCTCTTCTCTTTGACTAATATATTATTATTATTATTATAAAATAATAATAATAATAATAATAATAATAATAATAATAATAATAATATGGCTGCATATTATATTATTCCATCACAAAGTATATCAATGCAATATTATATCGGAGATGTTAATGTATAAGTAAATAAATATTAAATTTGTTTATTTAAATCGGTAATTTAAAGTATATAAATGCAAGATAATATATGAGAAAGATTGATTATATTGTCACTAAAATAAACGTTTGTAACTTTGTAATAACGTTAGTCTAAATACTTAATCTAAAAACGATAGTCTAAACAAATACGTACTACTTTTGGTTTAAATTTCTCTAATTCTTCTTAATTCTCTTTTGGGTAGCATTGTCATTGTCTTCATCTTCAGTACATGTTTTTTTTTTTTATTGTTAGTTTGTCACGTGCAATTGGGGTACTGGTGGTACCATAGATGGATTCATCATGCAATGAGATTATAGTGTAGGAAGCTTTAGATTTGCCTTGTTGTGTATATGATGAGATCTTAGTTTACTATTAATTCTTTATCTTACAAGCACCTATTGATATTTGGTAGTGATAGTTTTTCTCATACATGTTTCATGCGTTTTGAGATGTGTGTCATAAGTTATCATGTGAAAGTATTAAACAAAATATTAATATTTATTATATTTATATAAAATACTTGGTATATATATATATATATATATATATATATATATATATATATATATATATATATATATATATATATATATATATAACATATTTTGTATTATAACTTTAATATTTAATTACATGATAATGTAAAAAGATCGAAGACACTATGTAGTGAATATAATAAATTAATCAATTTGAAGGTAATGAATCTTTGAATTGTAGAAAATAAAGATAATATAACTAATGAAATTATATCTCTTTTAAATTTTTTTATAATGAATAAATTTTTTAAATAAAGGCATTATAGACATCTAATTCTAAATTAATTAAATGCATATGTATTATTTTTTGTTGTAGCTACTAATTTATTTAATTTAATAATAGTAATAAAGTGACGTGCATACTTTTCATAACAATAATGAAATCATTGATTTTTTTTTAATATACATTCGTTGTTGAGACAAATTATTTTAAGAGTTTGTCAATGACAATTGTTACAATTTCTGTCAAGAGGATGATAATAAATAATTTAAAATATATAGTTACTACAATAGATATTGTTATAATGATGTAGTAAAAAAATTTTAGAAGTTGTCATGCATTGATAAAATTCTGATGTGTAAACTTGTTCAATTAGAGCCAGTGGGATGTCAACATTGTCAATTATTTGGAAAATGGTCCTACCGTTTTAGAGTCCATGTGTAATTGTATTTATGACCAACAACTTTGTAGTTAGGTCGCTTAGGTCTGATAATGATGTACGAACAATTTTGTCCGACAAAAAAAATAATAGTATAATATTTATAAAGTAATGTACAATTGTACCATTATAAAAATACATACAAAAAATATTGATACCATAAACAATCTAAATCATACCAATAAATTAATAATACAAAAGTATAATTGAAATATTAAGTTTTGTTCTCATCTAAATAATCAAAAGAAGATTAATTAAATGAAAAAAAAAATTAACATAATTTTTTATTTTTATTTTTTTGGTTTTTTAAGGCTGTGTTTGGAAACCCGGAAAATAATTTATGAAAATCATTTTCCGAATTTTTGGTGTTTGGCTACACCTGGAATCCGAATTTCCGAATTCCGTTGACTGGGGAAAATGAGCTCAATTTGGCGGAAAATGACTTCCGCCAAATTTGGGCAGAAGTCATTTTCCGCCACTTCTATTTCAATTTTTTTTTTTTTTATAACTTCTGGCGGAAAGTTCCGCCAGAAACCATAGCTATGGTTTCTGACGGAACCCAGTTCCGCCGGAAGCCATAAATGTTTTTTTTTTTTAAGTTTTAAAATGTATTTTTTATTTAGAATAAAATAATTAAAATATTTAATTATACCATTCCACTCATTTTCCAGAAAATGAACCAAACACACCAAAACAGTTTTCCAAATGCAACCAAACACTGAAAAAGAAAATTATTTTCCGAAAAAATGACTCACTTTCCAGAAACCATTTTCCAGAAGTTATTTTCCTGCTTTCCAAACGGACCCTAAATGTATAAAAATCAAATGATTTTTAAAGTTCTTGATTTATAATATTTGATGCTTGACTTTGAATGTTATGTATTTAGTCGGACTAATTATTTGACCAAAGTTTATGTTAAATTTTATATTATATATATTTTTAATACATTTTAACATATTCGTAGTATATGTTTAAAAATTATGTCAACTCTAATTGGGATGTGGTTCGGACCTAATACCGAAATTAATGAGTAAGTTAAAAATAATAAATAGTTAATGGAATATTCCGTTACTAAAGTTTATACTAACGGAGTTTATGTTATTTAATGGAAGAAAATAATATAATAGAGAATAAATAAGAAAAATCATTAAAAAATTACAAAAATCAAAATAATATGAACCATTCATTTTAAGAAACAATACTACCGACATTTTTTTTGTTATAATTAAAAGCCTTACATTATTGGCTCTTATTAGAATTGTAGATGTAGATTGTAGATAAATAAAAAATATCCAATTCTTCTGTTCTATATTCTTTCTCATTCTCTTTTTATTTTTAATTTTTTTTAAAATTTTTAGTACTACTGACTCTATTACAATGTGATATTTATTCTTACATACTTTCTCAACCTATTAAATTAAAAAAGTCAATGACCCCACTGGAATCCGAGCGTGACCTTCCATTTAGGAGAATCACAGAAATGTCAATGGGCTACTTGACTTCTCATTCTCTTTAGTCCTTTTATTATTAGCTCCCTAATCTCTCATATCTCATTTATCTTTTTAATTTGTCTTCGAGCAAATACCAATTTTAGTCCCACGAGTATTAGTTAAATGACAATTTTAGTCAACATGTTTAATTCCTACTAATTTTCATCCACAACTATTGTTTTATTACCAATTTTCATACATGACTATTATTTTAGTACAAAAATTATCACACCGGTCACCCCTCCATTTAAGACATGTTGAAATCTAAATATTGTAAGAGCATTTTTGTCTTTTTCAACATAAGATTCTAATTTGAGCAAGAATAATGAGATTTAAGCCCTAAAATCAATCTCAATTCACAGTTCTCCTCATCATCCTACCTTGATTTGTGTAGGAGAACTACGAATTGGATAGATCTTATGGCTTAAATCCCTTTTATTCATGCTTAAATTGAGATCTTAATTTGAAAAGGACGAAAATACCCTTAATAATTTGATTTTTCGGCATGCCTTAAATGAAGTGGTGACCAACGTGATGAATTTTGACACTAAAATAATAGTCGTGGATGAAAATTAGTAGGAATATAATATAATTAAACATATGAACTAAAACTGTCATTTTATTAATATTCGTGGGACTAAAACTGGTATGTGCTCTTTGTCTTCTTTCCTTTGCATTCTTGACACTCACTCAAAATAGTGCTATCTTGATACAAGGTCGTATCGTCCCCTTCAATTCCCAAATCAAAATTATGTGAAAAATAGATAATGAGTTACCCGAATCCTTTGTTTAAGCTGTGAGCAACAGCAGTAGTAGCTTTTCCGCCACCGTATTTCTTGGTAAACTCTTCCTTAATGCGCTCAAGAAAACCACGTGGAATTTGATTGCCAATAGATTCTACAGCAACAACACAATATACTGTGCCAAGAAAATAAAAGTTAGCCGAACTGACAAAATACAGAAAATGATTAGATTTATGAGATATGGGAAATTAATTAATTTTCATCATAATATATTTTAGTTATATGAATTATAATAGAGCGTTCAGATTTCATTAAAACTATCACATTGTTCTATTTACCATTTTAGATAGGGTAAATCCAATCGTTATATCGTGCACCAGGACACACACTGCATTGTGCGTCCCACCCTGTCCAAAACGACATCGTTTTGTTAAGTTATGTGGGAGTTTGATGCGACAGAATGTATGTGTATTCTGTTATACAATTATGTACATTATGTTATACAATTATGTACATTTTATTATATAATTATGTACATTCGAAACATGATTTTTTTTTATAAAGAAATTGACAACAGACACGAAAAACGAAAATTCCAAAAAGAAAAGTACAAAACGACGTCGTTTTGCACTAGGGCGCACATGCATTGTGCGCCCTGGTGCACGATATAAATTGCTGGGTAAATCTTATGCCATATCATATGCAATGCAAAAAACAAACATGTGACTATGTGAGTACTTGTTATTAGAACAAACTCAATGAATTGGACTAACGAATAACGAATCTCATAGAGATTAACTTCAAGTCATCAATTTGTTGTTAATTACAATTATGCAACTGATTCTTTGACTTGGGAGGACATGGTTGTCTTGTACTTTACTTCTCCTTCCTATCAATAATGTTAGTTAAGTTTACTCCATACCTTTAATATGATTTGTAATGAGACATGTGCATGTGCATTCAATAAAAATCCACCACCTTGCGGTAACAAGAGTGTTATGAGTTATATATTCAATAGTCTAATAATAAGAGTATTTGGTCAACGAATAATGCACTTAGATTTTATACTATAACTGTCTATAAGAGCTTAGCTCAATGGTTTAGCAGACATTTCATGACTTCTGAATTATGTGTGGTAAACGATTATATATGTAGCTTTTTATTTTTTATTTTCTTTTACTTGTAAAATACTAAAATTCATAGAAAATAGGAAAAACTGTCAAATAGACCCTTGAACTTTTTTCAAAAGTGCAACTAGGCTTTTGAACTTTAAAAAGGTGCAATTACACACTTGAACTTGTGAAAATGAGTCAAATAAGTCTAATTTACCGGATACTCAAATAAAAAAAAAATCTAATTTACCGGTAAAATCTAATTAGGCCCTCGAACTTTTAAAACAATCAAATGTACAATTACGCACTCGAACTTTAAAAACGTTGACCGTCGCTAATTACTGTGGATTTTTGGACAGTCAGCCTTATACTTGACAAAAATATGACGCTGACTAATTTTTGACGGTCAAGAGAAAACCGAGTTTAGAAAATGCGATTGGACTGAAAAATGCATTTCCCAAATTCGGTCAAAGTAAATGCTATTCTCTCCCCGTCAACATTAGACGCATTTCTCAAATGTGTCCGATGTATAAAATACTACAACCTGCAAATCCGCTCATGTGGGAAATGCGTTTCCCACGAGAAATGCGGTTATGCTTGCTGGCTGTAGATCTGAGACCAACCTGAAAGTGGTCTAAAACAGCATTAAATGCTTGCAAATGTATCCAATAGAAGTTTGACAAAGTGCCCAACCTGAAACAATGTCCAGTACATAACAGGAGCATTAAATGGTAAGCACAGAAGACAAAAAGTTTAAGGCTTTTGAAGAAGAGAGTATGGGAAATTTTATTCACACCACCTATTTTGCTATTTGCACCACCTATATAATAGGTCAAATAATTTTATAGATGGTGCAAATATTAAAGTGTTATTTGACCACCATTAATAAATATGATCAAAAAATAATATTTATTATTCTTTTTTTTAATCAACATATTAAAAAAAAAAAGAAAAAAAAAAAAGAAAGTGATCTGTCAGCTTCTCTGGCGAGAAGGCAACCCACTGTGGCAACCTTCTCGCCGGAGAAGGCAACCCAGGTAGAAGCCTACCTGGGTCGCCTTCTCCGGTGAGAAGGCAGTCCGTCTTCTCACCGGAGAAAGCGATGTTTCATTTTTTAATTTTTTTTTTTTATTTTAATGAATTAAATTTTGAATTAATTAATTATTACTTAAATTTAATAAATGCAGTTTTATTAAGGTGGTGCAAATAGCATTTTGACCACCCATTAGATATTTGCACCATCTATGTATTTATTATAACTTACCACCTTTTTATATTTTTAATGTATTTTATACCTCATTTTAGTCAAAGGGTGGTGCAAATAGAACACCCTAGTATAAATGATAAGAGAGACCACTCAGGACTGGACTATATCTAAGTGGGTAAAACAGAGTAGCAGTGTGTGGTGCAATGTGCATAATGCAGTGGAGTCAAGTATATATGGTTTTTGAATTGAGATTGTGGGTATTGTTGCCCAGTCACTCATCTTTAGAAAGCAAATCCTACCTTTTTTGTAGCTTTTCTCCATTGGGCATACTGGTGCTTTTCCTTTGCATTAAAAGAAGTACTTTAGTTGGACCCTTTTTTTTTTGGAAGAAAGCCTTACAGTAAGCTAAGCTAGTCAATGATGGCGATCATCAGCAAGGTGATCGCCAGACATCAGCAAGGTGACGGGCTGAAAAAAAATAAAAATTAAATATGACTGACGTCTTATTTTTGTCCAACTCATAGCTGATTGTCCTATAACAGTCAATTTCCCAATAACTATTCACCGCCTTTTAAAATAAACAAAAAAATTCCGCGACTATTTCTACAGGAGAAGACAACCTCCAGTGGCCTTGTCCTGGAGAAGGCAACCAGTCAGGCCAGAAAAAGACCTCAATCCTCCTCTCTAATGGAGAAGGCGACCAGATCTAGTCGCCTTATCCATTAGAGAGGACGACTTGCTGGTCGCCTTCTCCACCGAAGAAGACGACAGGAGACTATCTGAATTTTTTAAAAAGAATTTGTACTTGTGAAAATTTTCGCTAGAATTTTGAATGACTGGTTATTCCAGGTGAATAATAGGGTAATGGTGTTATATGCCTCAAATGACAAGTACCAACGTATAATTACACTCTTTTAGAGAGAGTTTATTTGACCATTTTCCATATAAAATATACAGCGATGAGTTTTGAGTAGATTCTAACAGATACGAAAGCAGATATACGAAGACGTACAACCGGATCCGAGACGGTATAGCAATTAGCAGATCATCGATCGACCTAGCTAGCTACAAAGAGATGAAGTATGACTTACTGAAAGCATCTTCTACGAGGTAGTTGAAGGTGTGGCCGTCGCAGTTGTAAACGTAGTACGGCTTGTTATTGCTCACCGGAAGTTTCTGCAGGCATTGATAAGCTATGCTCGCGAAGTTGCCGGAGAAATCAGTGTAGTCGGCGAGGATCACCGTGCCTCTCGATCTCGCCACGAAGCTGTAGATCAACGACTGCTGCCCCATCTTTCGGCTTGCGGCCTTTCTCTCTCAACTCAATTCCTAGCTTCTCGAGTTCTAGAGAGTGAAGGTGTGAATAGCAAAACGTAGAAATGTCTCGCTCCGTTGAGTATATATTATATAGGTGCGTGGGTGGGAAATAACGACCCAGATCAACAATGGTTATATCGTTCGCCTTCAAATTACAAGGTGAACCATTATCTTTTTATTTTTAAAAGGAAAAAAATGTCAAATAGACTACTGAATTTTTACCTATAGTGCAATTAAACCACCAAACAAATAAAGTGAATAATTAAATCATTAAAATTTTAAAAATTGTGCAAATAGTATTTTTTACATGTTACTGATTCCCTTAAATATAATGTTAAATTATATATAAAAAATTAATTTAATTATTATTTAAAAAAAATGGGGGGGGGGGGGGGGGGGGGGGTGTTTACAATTTTTCACAGCCACTCCAAACAGGCAAACAGCTGCGTTGAATGATCGAGAAGCGCCATTGACTTGTATAGGTACTATTAACTTTCTATGTATAACGTAAGTTTGGTTTTTAATCTCGCGGAATTTGAGAATATTATATGCTCAACACGGCTCCTTATATGTGCAGGTCGATTACTTTTGAGTGGAGGTTCAAATCATGTGCTACATCTTAATTAAAAGTCTAAGTTGATAGTTGAATTGCACATCATTTATGTTTAGAGTTAATATCCAAAATCGTCCTCGATTATAGTCGTTTTTCTCAATTTCGTCCTAAACGACTTTGGTGACCTAATATCGTCCCAGACTTTTGTGTTTCGCTCAATTTAGTCCTCCATTTGTTATTCAGTCAAATTGGTGTTAAATAAATGGACAATTCAGTAATGTCAATATTGATATCTCTTTACTTTCAACTTGTGAAGTGCAAAATTCCTCTTTCTTGTACGAATTACACCCAGAATTACTCCCGGACCTGCAAATTAAATTTTATATTCGCAGTTTTAGGAGTAATTTTGGAAGTAATTCGTAAAAAAAAAAAAAATTCGCAGTTCACATGTCTATGAGTAAAGAGATGCCAATATTAAAATTACTGAATTGTCTATTTATTTAACACCAAATGGACAGAATAACAAATGAGGGACTAAATTGAGCAAAAACACAAAAGTCTGGGACTAAATTGAGCGAAACACAAAAGTCTGAGACGATATTAGGTCACCAAAGTCGTTTAGGACGAAATTGAGAAAAACCACTATAGTCAAGGACCATTTTGGGTATTAACTCTTTATGTTTAATATTATATATGCTCAACAAATGGGTTTGGTCAATAGTTATAGTACAGGTCTTGAGTCCAAAATTGTACGTGTGGTGGACATGGAAGGGTGGGGTTGGCTTTTTAAGGGTGAGATTCTGCTATATGAGTACTCTAGCTTGAAAGATTTATTTATTTATTTATTTATTTTGAATGTTACTGGCCCTTATTACATTGTAGTATCTGTTCATATACTTTCTCAACCTACTGAAACACAAAGAACCAATAACGCCTCCACTGAGACTTGAACTCACAACCTTCCAAATGGACTATAGTCCTGGTATAAAGATTTATTTATTTAGTTATGAAACACAAAGAACCAATAACGCCTCCACTGAGACTTGAACTCACAACCTTCCAAATGGAAGTCCAACCCGGATACCATTAGACCACATAGTCCTGGTATAAAGATTTATTTATTTAGTTATTTATTTGAATCCAAAGCGAAAATCATTCATTAAGATTATAACCAATAGCATTACAAATGAAGTAGAGGATCATGGAACCGTTCCATACGATCAGCCTTAGAGATGAAGTACCTAACTAATAAGTGATCAACTCCATTCGCGGACGTTCAATATTTGCAATTTTTGTATACTCATGTGAATATATATTGACGGAGTTTAATTATGTTATGTGAACATTGTACTAAACCTTGTAAATGCCATAAAGCAGCTTTAGATTTATTTATTTATTTTTATTTTAGATAATAAGGAAAAATGTTTTTTTTTTAATTTTTAAAAATACTAATTAAAATAACTTTTTATATATAATTTGACATTATGACATCATATTTAAGGGAATCTTGAAAATAACTTGTAAAAAAAAATTATTTGCACAATTTTTGTATTTTTAATGTCTAGTTATACACTTTTTTGTTTGACGGTTCAATTGCACGATATGTAGAAATTCAGTGGCCTATTTGACACTTTTTCCTTTTTAAAATACTAAAAATTTAATTTTGTGTATTAAATATTTATTTTTTAAAAAAAATTATCTTAAATATATTACATGGTCATTTTTAATATATTATCTAAATATAAATTATAATATATTAATAAATAAATATTTATTAGTTTTTTTTTTGAAACCATAAATATTTATTAGTTCATCACCTTAGGCCATCCCCAACCCATTACACCAAATTTTACACCAAAAGGAATATTCTCAGAATATTTTTACACCAAATTTTATTCATCTCCAACCCATTACACCAAATTTATTTCTACACAAAAATAATTTGTTTTCTCATAAATTATAACTTTTATTTTTTACTTCAATTTTTTAATATGAAATTTAATTGTAATGTAAATAATATTTTTATTCCACAATAATATAACATATAACAACTATTACATTTAATTTTCAGAATTACCATATAGTTGCCACAAATGCTCAATCAATGCATTACGAAGTGCATAATGCCCTTCTCTATCTTTTATTTGTCTATCTTTTATGTACTTTAGTTTTTAATTAATCTATATATAATATTAGGCTTGTTTTAATCGTCTTGATGCGATATTTCAAATGATATAATTTATTTTTAATTATTCAAATTTCATGTTTATATATTTAACAAAATATGTAAATCTATAAAAACCAAATAGGGATACAAAAGGAATTAATAAAAAAGACAGGGAAAAAATTGGAATACAATACTTTACACCATTTTGGCGTAAATGCTACAGTGCAGCGCCCAATTTGGCGCTACATTGGAGGAGGTTCAGCGCCAAATTGGGCGCTAAAATAGCGTTTGGTGGAGATATACCGTCTCCTTGGAGACGGCCTTACAGTGTATGGAGGTCCACGGTATAATTTGTAAAAGATCCATCTGTCGGGCTGTCGCCTGTCGGCCACCACTTATAATAATTAACTAAGCAGCTTATTGGCTATTTGGTTCACGGAATAGACTTGGAATGACATAACATTTCCAGTAATATGTCTATTCCTCTGTTTGGTAACCACGTGTATTCTTTTACCCAACCAAACACTGGAATAACATTCCTAAAGTCTATTCATTTACCGAAGCAAACAATAGAATACAATTTCTATTCTATTCCTTACATATTTCATTCCCGGCCTACGAAATAGTATTTCTATTCCTTCAAAATTCACTCCGCCAACCAAACGTGCTGTTATTGTTTTATTATTTTTTAAAAAATTAATAAATAAATTTGGAGGTATGCTGGTATAGCATGATTTTTTGGGCATTTCTGATTTTGGCAACGTTGTTCCTATCAAAATTTTATACCAAATAATATAAACGTGTTTGTGGCAGCCTGTAGTGCTAAACTAGATTGTGGGCGCCACCCATACTTGGTGGAAACTATTGCAGTCAAGGAGGCGTTGTCATGGATGAAGCTTTATCATTTCAATAATATTATTCTTGAATTTGATTGTCTTAATTTTTGTACTTCTTTTAATTCGTGTAATTTGAACCTCTCTTATGCTGAACTGGTTATTAAGCAATGTCGAATCATTAAACGTGTCTGTTTGCCATATCAATAGGTCAACATATCATGTTGCTCATATGTTATATTAGCACGAGTGTCTGATTCTTTGTCTGTCCTGAGCTCGTGGTTCACTTTGTCACCGGACTGTATCTCGTTATTGGTTGCTTATTAATGCAATTCCTTTGTTCCTTTCACAAATATAATTTGAAGAGCTCGCCCGCTCCATTTAGAGATGTACTGTGGCTTGTTAAACTTTAATTTTCATAATGTATTCGATTAGTTTATATATTCATCTCATAAATACTGTGAGTAATATTACTTTGCCGGGGAGAGTCAAAATTGATAAATCAAAATAATCAATTATTCTTTCCACCTAAATAGATTCGAAACTAATCGTTACGATGTTAGTTGTAATCGATGCTCTCTCAATCCTAGATCAAGCAATTGTTATATTATTATGGATTATGGTTCATTTTATATTGTGGATCTTGGTTTAAAAGTTATGTGTATTTAGCTGATATATTTTATATATGTAAATCGTTTGTGTATGTAAATAAATTGAAGTTAAGACATATAATGTGTTAAATACTAACACATAAAATGGTAACTACAAACACATAAAATAGGAAATGCAAGGTAGATTCTGATCCATGATTTAATTTGACTTCATCCATGTGCTCCGTGTAAAGTTGGAGGTGTAAATCTTAATTATAATAAAGTCAAATGGTTTGATGAGCAATTATTGTTACAATTATTATCTTTATCCTTATTATTATAAAAATAGCCACAACATATAAAAAAAAAAAAAAAAAGAAGTCACAACATTTGAAAAATAAATAGCTATTTTTTCCCGCCCATAAGAAAGGATTACATTTATTGAATTAATGGAATTATTAAATGTTATGATGTTATGACTTAAACGATGCAATATTAATTAAATCTCTGACTTTACAATGAAAGTCTATTCGATATGCTTTTGTTATTTATGGTGCCTCTTGCGATTACAATATTAATTAAATTTCCAATGAAAGCCTATTTGATATTCGAAAAATTAATGCAACCCTCTACATATAGTTTTTCTCCTATAAAACACCCCATATCAAATCCATGTGAGCGTAAACTGCAGCAATTTGCCCTACCATTCGTGTATTTTCATGGTCATGGCAGCAGAGGAAACAAAAGATGTATAATGTAGAGGAGGCTCAAACAATCACGCCTGTAAAAATTAAAAAAATAAAAAATAAATAAAAAAAAAACAAACAAACAAACAAAACAAAAAAAAAAAAAAAAAAAGAATAAACAAAAGAGAAGAATCATGAAAAGTGACAGACAA